ATCCAGCCTTGCACCTTGTTGTCTCGGATTCTCCAGCATCTGCAGTTCCTACTATCAAGGATGGTAGTATGGTAGTTTCCTTCCCTAAAGGGCATTTGTGAACCAGATGGGTTTTTCTTGACAATTGACAATGGATTCATGGTCAGTATTAGATTCTTAGTTTGATATTTATTGAATTTAAATCCCACCATCTGTTGTGACAGGATTCAAACCCTGGTCCCCAGAACATTATCTGGGGATCTGGATTAACAGTCCAACAATAATACCACTAGGCCATTGCCTCACCACATGCAGTGAAACGAAGACAGCATTTAGTACACTTGCCTTTTTGATTAGAGCATTGCATATAGGAGTTGGGAGGTCATGTTGTGGCTGTACAGTATATATAGGTTCGGCCACTTTTGGAATACTGCATGCAATCTGGTCTCCCTGCTATTGGATGTTGTGAAACTTGAAAGGGCTCAAAAGATTTACAAGGATGTTGTCAGGGTTGGAGGATTTGAGGTACAGGGAAATGCTGAATTGGGTGGGGTTATTTTCCCTGGAGCGTCAAAGGTGGAGGAATGAACTTAAAGGCTTAAGATCAGAGGGGCATGGATAAGGAAAATAGACAAGGTCCTTTCCCTAGAGGGAATAGGTTTAAGGTGAGGGGAAAGATTTGAGGGACTTTGGGGGTGACTTGCCCCTCACACAAGGTGGGGTGTATGTGGAATGAGGTGCCAGAGGAAGTGGAGGATGGTATAATTACAATATTTAAAAAGTGTCTGGATTGGTACACGAGATAACAAGGTGTAGAGCTGGATGAACACAACAGGCCAAGCAGCATCAGAGGAGCAGGAAGACTGATGTTTCTGCCCTAGACCCTTCTTCAGAAAAGTCTAGGCCCAAAACATCAGTCTTCCTGCTTGGCCTGCTGTGTTCATCTAGCTCTACACCTTGTTATCTCAGATTCTCCAGAATCTACAGTTCCTACTATTTCTGGATTGGTACATGAATAGGTTTAGAGGAATATGGGCTGAATGCTAGCAAATGACTCTAGATATTCTTCTGATATCTGGTCTGCATGGATGAGTTGGACTGAAGTGTTTCCATGTTGTACATCTAATGAAAATCACTGCCAGCCAAAACCCCACAGACTGGTACATTCTCAACAATCAACCACAATGGAGTCCATTTGGAATTTGACCACCCTCTGACAACACAATGGTTCTTGAGGGCAAAAATTCAAATCTTGGTGACAAACAAACACCTCTGAGGTTGGTTGGCTCACTGAGCTGGTTTGTTGTTCTGCAGGCGTTTCGTTACCCTGCTGGGTAACATCAGTGCAGCCTCTGAAGCGTCAGTGTTTTCCTGCCTGGTTTTTACTTTGCTTCATCAGAGCCTGCACTGATGTTACCCAGCAAGGTAATGAAACACCTGCAGAACAAACCAGCTCAGTGAGCCAACCAACCTCAACACCCACAACCCGAGCTACAAATCTACTAAAACCTTAGAAACAAGACACCTGTAGGGAATTCCAGCATACTTGAATTTGTTTGGCCTTGTGGGACAATGATTCACCAAACTTTCACACAAAAGCAATGTTAATCAGAATAATTTGAGATTCCACTTTAAAAGCAGATCCCTCCTGGAAAGGTCTCCCTAGAGACCACATCCTCAAATGAGTTCAGCTCAAGCAAAGTCCCCCCCCACCACTGAAGAAATTAACTACATTTCTGCTGAAAAAGTCCAGGCAATCTGCAAGTGCCATAACCACAGAACCAGAAGAACAGGAAATTCTCCTTCCCTCAGTCTGCTTTATGTGCTGAATCTACCTGTGCAAATAATCACCTATTTGGTAACAGAAGCCATAGCTGTGAATTATCCTTCAAATCTTCAATTCCTCTACCTTGGAAATTCCAAGCAACCAGCAAACCAAATGTGACCTTGATCACAAGAACAGTTATGTACTCATCTCACCACTGGAATTCAACTCTCTTGCCCATCTTTGAGCAAGGCTCTAATAAAATCAGAAGTGCCCCGAGAACCCAAACAGCAGCAATTAGGTTATTTGTATGTAAGCACCAGTTGACCACTTGATAGTACTTACAAACATTTTGTATTTTGCTGATGTAGCATTACACACCTAGAAGATTCAGAGAAGGCCGGTTTTTAAAATTGCACTTGATCTGGTCCCCTAAAACTAGCTAATATGATGGAAGTCCACTTTTTAAAACCAAAAGTACCTAGATATTATCTGCCTTTTACCAGTAGTTCAAATAATTACACCAAGGCTCAGTAACATTTGGCCATGTCCATTTTATTTTTATGCTTCATTGGGTATTACACTGGAAATCAAGCCCCACTATTCCCCTCAAATTGAGATTTTATACAAAAGCACAAAATTCCCAATGCAGTCTTTTCAGACCCAGATCAATTAAACATACTGGGTTTTTATACTCAAGAATTATCAGATTAGAAAAATAGATTCTAGCTTCAAATTAAGAAGAGCCCAAATCTGTAAATCCCCTTAGAAAACTCCACCCTTGCACACAGACAAGAACATTGGTGTTATGGGTGGAAGGAAAATCTAGGAAGTTAATTCAAGAGCCTCTTGTCCAGAGTCTGCTGCCATCTTATTGGCTTGTCAGGACTTGTTCAAGAAACTCTTCTCCAGGTACTTTCACTTGCCAGCGAAAGGCAATGTTTTGTATAGAACTTAAAGTCTTACTAGTGAAAAACAAGTTTAGCAGTGTGCTGGTTGCTTACTTTTAACAAGAGTAGCAACCTCTCCCAGAATCTTGATATTAAAACAGGAAAAAAAGATAGGTGTTTATATCTTGACCACAACTGCAGTGCCTGTTGGGTTCACATCTTAGCTAAGGGCTTGGATGTCAGAGCTCCCTTATCTCCATGTTGGTGACCTGTACTGTAGGGGCAAGGCAGCTGAATAAGGATGACTTTTCTTTCATGGAATGTGGATGTTACCAAGACCAGCATTTGTTGCCCATCTCTAATTGTGCTTGAACTGAGTGGCTTGATCCATTTCAGAGGGCATTCAAGAGTCAACTGCATTGCCATGGCTCTGGAGTTACACGTAGGACAGGCATGGATGACAGATTTCCTTCCCAAAGGAAACTTGTGAACTAGATGAGAGTTAAGTCAGCATTATTGATCTTGCCACAACACATCTCTTGCAGCTGTCTCCAGTGGTCCAAGTAATTTCTTATGTACCTGCATTTGGTAGGCACACAAGACAAACCATTATTCTTGATTATGACATTCATTTAGCCAGAGCGAGCTGGGGAGGATTCCATGGTCAGATTCAGTCCAAAGATAACTATTCTGCTGATGGAGTGCCTGCAAAGGAAAGGAAGAAATAAATCAGTGCACCCACCTCCACAAGCTAGAAAATTTATTAAAATATCCTCTTCCCTCCCTCAATTTCCATTGACCTTTCTCCATGAGAAACTTAAGCCACAAGCTCCATATTGCTGGTTATCACCCCATAAGCCCACTCCTGTTACAACCTCTACAGACAGCAAAACAAATCCTCTCAACACCAACAAGAAAACTAGTAGACAAGACACCAAAACTTTTATTGCAACAAGCCAACTAAAATCATAATTCAATGGTGCACAGTGGAAATGTCACTGGATTAACAATCCAAAAATGCAGACAAATGTTTTGGGGATAAGTTCCAATCCCATGGCAGATGAAATGCAAAATCTACAGGACAAACAGGGCTGTGTAACCACTTGATTGGTTTATTAATGTCCTTTAGGGAAGGAAATCTGTCTGCCCTTATCTGGGCCAGCCTACATTTGATTCCACACCCAAAGCAATGACACTGACTTTTAAAATGCCCTCTCAGCAATTAGGGATGGGCAATAAATGCTGGTTCAAGAAGCATCAACTCAAACACTTGTTCAGAATACTCCAATACACTTGTTGAAAGGACACCAGGTTTATTTTCCCAGCACACACACTGGGTCCTGATCAGTCTTTCCTCAAACATTCTACAACAGACTGCAATGAGGTGGGGTGAATATTGGCATACAATTTACTATCTTAATGGCACTCCATAAATGATAAGTGCATATGCTTCTACCATGCACAAGGACACCACAGCCTACACAAGCCCATCTTTGGAGAAACTCAGCCCATCTGGCAGTACTTAGAAAAGCAGTTAACATTATAAGCCATGATTCTTCAGACTCCCCTGAAGTCATACTTTAGTATTTTGCCTTTATCAAAGTTCAAGGCCTCAGGATTGCTGAAGGACAGGCTCAACCTGGGGTGGCAGGAGTTGAACGCATGAAAAGCTGGAACTGACTTTGAGATGGTTCCTTTAAGACTAAGAACCAGCCAAAAATGTTGAAGTGTTTCACAATACTTTTCTGGTTGCCAGTTAATATAGACTGTACCATTTAGTCTGTTGTATCAGTTACTGTTAGTTCAACGGTGACTTCAATTTGTCAGTGACAGTAAACATGAAGTGTAATCTTGCCCAGTCTATTGTCAGGAAATCCATCTTTTTGAAGAGACTGGTCTCTACAGGAAATGAAAAACTGAACTGCATTGAAAATCAGAAGCTAAAGAAACAAAATGGGTACAGATTTAGTAAATGTATAGAAAAATTCTGTTTCCTCATTCACACTAGAATCATTCTGTACAGCCAACTATTGAATACAGTGAAGGGTTATTAATTATGCTATTCATGTCTTTAAAGAAATTAAATATTTAAGGTCACATACTCAGCTGGTCTATGGAATCACATGGGCATACATCTTGCAACAATCTCAAAACCTGGCAGAGGGTTTTATATGGCACATTGAACCTGTGATGAGATCAAAATTGATTGTTCAATTGAGAATCAAACTTGCGCAAAATCTGCTAGCAACTAGAACCATCACACTACAATGTATTGCAATGTCACAATAGTTGGGACTATAAACCAAACCTGAAATCTCAAAGTTTGGAACTGGTTGTTTCCAAAAGCCAGTCTCAATCTCCACCAGCTGTTCCATTTCAACAGCTGACAAATCCACCTCACTGGGCACACTGCAGGGGCTCTAGACCCAAATGAACTTGTCCACAAGTCAAAGAAGATGCAAAGTATGCCTCTAGACAGCTAAGATGGCCAGTCATGACCCAAGTGGGACACCACTTTGTTGCATTGTGAAATAGGAATTTGAAGAGCTGTAGGAAAGAATCCAAGTTTTACTCTTGCATATTGCTTTTCCAAAATGGAAGTTGAGGGAGGCAATGGTCTAGAGGTTTTATTGCTGGGCAATTAATCTAGAGATCCAGATAACATTCTGGAGACCCAGGTTCAAATCCCACCACAGCAGATGGAAGGATTTGAATTCAATGAATACCTAGAATTAAGAGTCTAATGATGACTGTGAAGCCATTGTCAATTGTCAGGAAAACCCATCTGGTTCACTAATGTTCTTTAGGGAAGGAAACTGCCATTCTTACCTGGACTGGCCTACATGCAACTCCAGACCCACAGCAATGTGGTTGACTCAACTGTCCTCAGGGCAATTAGGGATGGGCAATAAATGCTGCCTGGCCAGCAACACATTAATGAATAAAGAATGAAAAATCATTCTTTGCAAGTGCATTCAGCTCATTAAGTTTCCCAAATATGTCTGCAACACAAGGAAACAGACCTGACTCTGGTCACATTCTGCTTTTTACCTCCATTGCAAAGGCAAACAGCTTGTCCTTTGTTTTGCAAAACCTCCCTAGTACCCATAACAGCTAGCATTCCTTGGTGTTAAATAAAATCAATTGGATTTGCCCATGCAATCCAACAGCTCACCTCAAAAGACACTGCTGCAGCTTGCAGAGACCAGCTTTCAATAAAGCTCTTCATCACAAAATGGCAGTCTACACATTCCTTGTAAACAGTCTCCAAGTACATCTGAGCTTCTGATTTTCTGATGAAGGGTCGAGGCCCGAAACGTCAGCCTCTCTGCTCCTATGATGCTGCTTGGCCTGCTGTGTTCATCCAGCCCTGCACCTTGTTGTCTTACATCTGAGCTTCGTTGGCTTCTTGTTGTCACTGGACAGCACCCTGAAACAACCAACATTTGGGCTTTCTTCAGTTGTCAGAAACAATCAAGAAAAGCCTCATCTTATTACATTTCTTGCTTTGTTTCTCTTTTACAACAAAATCCAAAGGCTCACAGATGGAGGCAGAAGCACAATCAGCAATTCACATACTACTTCTGAAAGGCAATTACAATATAAAGGAACAATGGAAGCTTTTCAGAAAGGTATGACAATCATGGAAGATTCATCTAAACAAGAATGGAAGAGGCAGATGAGCAAATGTAATCTAGGTGAGGAGCAGTTTCTTGAAATTGCATGAAGTCAACCAGAGAGCAGGTTATACTAGATCTGGAGTTATAGAGACAGGATTAATGAGCAAATAGCGAAGCTACCCCTAGACAGCAGCAATCACATGAAGGAACTTAATATTGGTTGAGGGCAAGAATAGTTTCAAGACTAGTACAGAGGGTTCTCCTATAACATGTTCCAGTAATGCAAATTGGCTATATCATTGACAAATAGGGGAACAGTATTTGTCAAACACTGTCTTGGTTACAATACAATCCCCACAATGTTTAGCATTAGAGAACTGCAACAAGAAAAATAACAGAACACGAACATAATGCTTTACCATATTTTGAAAAGTTACATTAAGGTCATTACATAGCAGTCCAGACATTTGTCTGTCATGTAACAAACTTTGATTTTTCAAATTCACAATCAATTGTAATATGAGTCAGATTGATAAGAACAGAATTAAGCCTCAGTTCAAATTAGGCAATAGGCTTCTCAGAATCACAAGAAAACAGTTAAAGGAAATAAATGATTGCCAGTGTCTAGACAATGAGGGACAGTGACAGCCTCATTGTTATGACAACAGTATAACTGCACATCAGGTGGTTTTGCTGGTGACAGATGCGGCTGGTGAGCAGGTGATGTGATTGCCAGGGACCAAGTGTTGATGATGTTTCTGACAGAATGGTCTTATCCATGCATTTAGTTGGTGTCTGGACAATACTTCTGGCAAGTCGCTTGATATTGTTTCTAATTAGGCTTTATCATTGCTGGTGTTTGTAAATTTGGTAATGGGGATCTTTTTAGATGAGGTAATGCTGCTGGAAATTAGAAAATTATTCCCAGTGACTTTTTGCTGCTGAATCATGATGTTAAGCACTGGGTGATATTATTCCAGGAAATTCTGGATACCACTGGTGTCCTTTTTTCTGCTGGAAACTGAATGGCTGGCAACCACAAGTTTTATTTTGCTGTCAAAAGGATGCTGTCTGTGGTACTTCAAACTGGCTGATAGGTGATTAATGCTTCTGGCAGTAGCAGAATGTGGCTGAGGGCTTGCTATACATGATTACAACTGGGTGATGAGTCACTGAAGTTTGGGTGCAAATGTATGATGTGTTGGTGCATGGGAGGCAAATCTATAGCTGCAGTGAAGAATCTTTAAATCTGCTCATTACTGTCTGCTTCTTCAAACCACAATGCTTTTAGCTGTAAACTGAACTCTGGTTCTTTATGGATTGTCACACTTGTACTGAATTAAGTGAAGACTGGAAAAAAGATCTGCCCCAACCCCACTTTTCCCATAGGCCCAATTACTTAGTGAAATTTTCTATAACATGTTGCTGCATTGAAACACAATTATGATGTTTAACAGAACCCTCATGTCTTAAACTGAAATGGGGGCAAGTATAAACACGAAAGCTGCAGTTAACAGGTCAATACAGACACAGTGACAGACACTTAGGGGATATTTCAGGATATATACGATAGAATTTAATTCTTATTGGAATTGTCTAAGCAAAGAACCCACTGTTCTAGTTAACTAAAACATTATTTCATAGAATCCCTAGTGTGGAAACAGGCCCTTCAGCCCAACCAGTCCACACTGACCCTCAGCATCCCACTCAGACCCATCCCCCATCCCTGAACACCATGGTCAATTTAGCATGGCCAATCCACCTAGCCTGCACATCTTTGAACTGCAGGAGGAAACTGGAGCACCTGGAGGAAATGCACACAGGCATGGAGAATGTACAAACTCCAGATAGTTGCCCAAGGGTGGAACCAAACCTAGGTCCCTGGCACTGAGGCAGTGCTATCCACTAAGCTATGCTGGTAAAGTCAAAGAAAGCACAATTCTGCAAAGAGTGGCCAGTCACAAGATAACAGCACTACTAGAATAAAGAATTACTAAGATTAATAAACAGTTCTGGTCACCACACTTCAGGAGGATGGAGGCTTGAGGGGATAGAGAAGTGGTTTACAAGAATGTTAACAGATAAGCAAAGAGCAGGCATTAACAGGACATTTTCAAGTTGGCAGGAATTAACTAGTGAAGTGTCACAAGGCATGTAGTGTAAAATTTATTAAAGCTAAGCAAAAATGTAAGCCACAGGGCAGACATTGATTTTAAGTGGGCAAGAACTAAAAATATCCTTGTTCACAATTTTTTGCAATAGCTCATTGGCCATTAAAGAGGAGGAATGGAGCAGACAAATAACAGGCCTTGCTGCAATTGTACAGGGTTGAGGGGATCACTTCTGAGAAACACAAGTTTGGTCTCCATATTCAAGCACAGATTATGAACAGATACAAACTGCCATTAAATTGTGCCCAAGTTTTCTGGAATCTAGCAGTGAGGGACAATCTGATACAAAATTTCAAAAGGGCATGATAGAGTACAATTGTTTCACTAGTCAACCAAAACAGTCTTAAAAAGCTAGTAATTTAGAAATTAGATGAGGGACATTAATTGAAAGATGCGAATCTTTGGAAATTCTCTACTGCAATAGAATGCAGATTTTCCATCACTGAATACACAAGGCTTTTTGGTCACAGGGACTAAAGGATGCAGGGAGAAGACAGCAAGTTAAAACCCAAGATCAACTACAGAACAGGCTACACAGGCCATGTGGTCTACTCCAGCTCCTATATCATGCATCTGCAGGAACTCTGATCAGTCTCAAACTACGCAAGGCCCACAGGACAGAAAAACAAGATTCTGTAACCAAATTAACTTGGAGAAACTGACAAAATACTTAAGACTGTCAGGACAGATGCAGGTAAAAAGGTTTCCTGGTTGGGAAGCCTAAACCCAAATGGTACAATTTATGAGGATGGCACTTGGGTCAGGAGAACTTATTTCATTCAGAGGTCTGTGGAGGCTCAGTCTTTGGGTATGTGTGGTAGAGATTGACAGATTAAATGAATGATTGGATAGGTCCAACAAGCTGGATGACCTATGACATTTGTGTAAAATCACAATAGGAACAGGAGGCTATTCAGCCCATTGCCTGTTCAGCCATTCATTGAAGTCAGTTAATCTGATAATCAACTCCACAATAAGGGTGGCTGCCTCACACAGGAACCTGGGTTCAATTCCATCCTCAGGCAACTGTCTGCATATTCTCTCCATATCTGCTGGTGTTTCTTCCAGGTGCTCTCATGTCCTCCCACAGTCCACAGATGTGCAGGCTAGGTGGAATGGCCACGCTGAATTACCCTGTAGTGTATTGGATGAGTCTGGGTGGGATGCTCTGCAGGTCAGCGTGGACATGTTGGGCCAAAGGGCCCATTTCCACACTGCAGGGACTCAATGGAAAGCCACTCTGCTATTTCCTCATAACACTTGATCCTGTTACAGATTAAAACTTTACTTAAACATAATGAGGACCACATCAGTTTATAGAATCCCTACAGTATGGAAGCAGGCCATTCAGCCAATCACATGCACACCAACCCTGAGGAGCACTTCACCCTAGACACTATGGGCAATTTAGTATAGCCAATCCACCTAACCTGCACATCTTTGGACTATGGACAAAACTGGAGCATGAAAAACCCACACAGACACATGGAGAATGTGCAAAGTCAACAGTTGCCTGAGGCTGGAATCAAACACAGGTCCCTGGCACTGACAGGCAGCAATGCAGCAATGCTTACCCCTACAGGAATAGGGGTAGAATTAGACTATTCAGCCCAGAGACTGCTCCATCATTTGCTACATCCACATGTTCCAGCCTTCTCCACATGGCACTTCAAACTATTACCAATTAAAAAAATTGGTCTAACTCCAGAAATTTACTCGCTGCCCCAGCATCCACTGCACTTTAGGGTAGCAAATCCCAGATTCACAACCCTTTGGAAGAGGCTTCTCCTCAATTGTGTCTTAGATTCACTAAGAGTCCAGATTTTACAAGCACATTGTCATCTTCATTCCATAATCCCACTATCTGTCTGAACTTGCTTTTGGAGGAGGAACCATCACCCAACCCTGTCAACTGTTTCAATGAGAACCACTCAACCCTTCTCCCACAAGCCAGTCAAAGAATCTGGTGAACCTTCAGTGCATTGTGTACAGCAAGTATACCTTCTTAAAATAAAGAGGCAAAAATGCACATTACTCCAAGTGTGAATAAAAGCAACTAATGGTGGATTCTCAACACTGACCTTGTTTGCTATAGTCCACACGTGCAGGACATCCACAAACTCATTGACCACTATTGGGGCCATGGTATCAGACCCTATAAGGGAACAAACTGAGTTTAAAGAGAGATAAAAAGAATCTGCAGAGCAGTCAGCAACCACAAGGCAATTGTGTGAAGGGTCCTATAAACCTGGTCCTTAGAGGTGACAAGGTTTCAAACTTACCCCTCATGGTTAATGTAGCAAGTCTCAGGAAGAGGCAGGTCACACCCAGACCTGACCCGCTTTACCTTGCATTGATTAAAAAGCTGGAAGCGGGAATTACCCCCGACCAGCCAACCAGAGCGGACAATGGCAGCACCACCACCAGCCAATCGACGCCTAGGGCACATCCCAGCCAGCCAACTGCAGCAGGCGGCGGGAACCCGGCCAGCCAATCGAAACGGACAACGGTAACGCCAGCAGCCAATCGCAAGGCCGAGCGCAGCCGCATCCAGCCAATCCAAGCGGTAATAAGCCTCCGCCGGCCAAGGCAGACCCAACGGTAGCGGCGCGAGGCCGCCCACTTTAACCCGCGGGTGTAGGAGCTCCGCGGGGCCCAACAGTGCAGGTACACAGCCGCTACCCCTAACCAGCGCCGAAGGACCAGACAAGAGAGCTTGCAGGACCACTAATCCACCATCTCCCTTATCATTAGGAGCAGATAATAAAATCTAATTATCATGCTCCCGCTCTCCTCAAAACTACATCTAACTACCGTAATGGCCCGCTTACAAATGCCAATCTCACCCCAAGTCAGTCGCTCCGCAAAAGACCGGATGGTGGCCCAACACCGCCTTTTATTCCACCTCGCCTTAGATCACGTGATTCCGTCATAGACCAATCGAGCAGCTGGTCTCTGATGTACCAACGAGCGGGTGAGACAAGATGGGCTCGCCAACTTGGACATCCCAGTGCTGTGGTGCCTCCTTGCGTTCGGACACCTGACTCGCAGCGCAGCTTTTGCGACCGCGAAAAGGCTAGTCGGCCCGTCGCGTGCCTGCCGTCTCCCCGAAAGAGCAATTGAGTTAGCGCCGTTCTCCTCGAAACCTGGTATATTCTTACTTTCGATTCAATACACGTTTGAGTCCCCTGAAGAACCTGCTTCCACCAGGCAGTGCACTCCAGAACGTTTCTGCTGGCTGTGTGACAAACCAATGCTCCCTTTCCTATTACCTCAAATGTGTATCCTCTAATTCTCGATCCTTTAATCAGTGAAAACAGTTTCTCCCACAACCTAGTTAAGATGTAGCTGATGAATTAAAACCAGAGGATTTAAAAGAAAAAACAACGGTCACCGGACCCGAAACATTAACTCTTTCTTTTGTTCACAGATGCTGCCAGACCTGCTGAGCTTTTCCAGCAACTTTGTTTTTGTATAGGATTTACATGCATTTGGAAGTAAGCATTGATTAAGGATAGTCAGCATAGCTTTGTGCAAGGAAAATTGTGCCTCACAAACTTGATTCAGTATTAGAACACAGAACATTACAGCGCAGTACAGGCCCTCCAGCCCTCGATGTTGCGCCGACCTGTGAAACCAATCTGAAGCCCATCTAACCTAAACTATTCCATTATCATCCAAATGTTTATCCAATGACCATTTAAATGCCCTTAAAGTTGGCAAGTCTACTACTTTTGCAGGCAGGGCATTCCACGCCCTTACTACTCTCTGAGTAAAGAATCTACCTCTGACATCTGTCCTATATCTATCACCCCTCAATTTAAAGCTATGTCCCCTCGTGCTAGCCATCACCATCCGAGGAAAAAGGCTCCCACTGTCCACCCTATCTAATCCTCTGATCATCTTGTATGTCTCTATTAAGTCACCTCTTAACCTTCTTCTGTCTAACGAAAACAGCCTCAAGACCCTCAGCCTTTCCTCATAAGACCTTCCCTCCATACCAGGCAACATCCTGGTAAATCTCCTCTGCACCCTTTCCAATGCTTCCACATTCTTCCTATAATGCGGCGACCAGAACTGTACGCAATACTCCAAGTGCGGCCGCACCAGAGTTTTGTACAGCTGCAACGTGACCTCATTGCTCCGAAACTCAATCCCTCTACCAATAAAACCTAACACACCGTACGCCTTCTTAACAACCCTATCAACCTGGGTGGCAACTTTCAGTGATCTGTGCACATGGACACTGAGATCTCTCTGCTCATCCACACTACCAAGAATCTTACCATTAGCCCAGTACTCTGTATTCCTGTTACTCCTTCCAAAGTGAATCACCTCACACTTTTCCGCATTAAACTCCATTTGCCACCTCTCAGCCCAGCTCTGCAGCTTATCTATGTCCCTCTGTAACCTGCAACATCCTTCCGCACTATCCACAACTCCACTGACTTTAGTGTCATCCGCAAATTTACTAACCCATCCTTCTACGCCCTCATGAAGGTCATTTATAAAAATGATAAACAGCAGTGGCCTCAAAACAGATCCTTGCAGTACACCACTAGTAACTGAACTCCAGGATGAACATTTCCCATCAACCACTGCCCTCTGTCTTCTTACACTTGGCCAATTTCTGATCCAAACCGCTAAATCACCCTCAATCCCATGCCTCCGTATTTTCTGCAATAGTGTAACGTGGGAACCTTATCAAACGCTTTACTGAAATCCATATACACCACATCAACCGCTTTACCCTCATCCACCTGTTTGGTCACCTTCTCAAAGAACTCAATAAGGTTTGTGAGGCACAACCTACCCTTCACAAAACCGTGTTGACTATCCCTAATCAAATTATTCCTTTCGAGATGATTATAAATCCTATCTCTTATAATCCTTTCCAACACTTCACCCACAACCGAAGTAAGGCTCATTGGTCTATAATTACCAGGGTTGTCTCTACTCCCCTTCTTGAACAAGGGGACAACATTTGCTATCCTCCAGTCTTCTGGCACTATTCCTGTAGACAATGACGACATAAAGATCAAAGCCAAAGGCTCTGCAATCTCCTCCCTAGCTTCCCAGAGAATCCTAGGATAAATCCCATCTGGCCCAGGGGACTTATCTATTTTCACACCTTCCAGAATTGCTAACACCTCCTCCTTATGAACCTCAATCCCGTCTAGTCTAATAGCCTGTATCTCAGTATTCTCCTCGACAACATTGTCTTTTTCCTGTGTGAATACTGACGAAAAATATTCATTTAGCGCCTCTCCTATCTGTTCGGACTCCACGCACAACTTCCCACTACTGTCCTTGACTGGCCCTAATCTTACTGTAGTCATTCTTTTATTCCTGACATACCTATAGAAAGCTTTAGGGTTTTCCTTGATCCTACCTGCTAAAGACTTCTCATGTCCCCTCCTGGCTCTTCTTAGCTCTCTCTTTAGGTCCTTCCTGGCTAACTTGTAACTCTTAAGCGCCCTAACTGAGCCTTCACGCCTCATCTCTACATAAGCCTCCTTCTTCCTCTTGACAAAAGATTCAACTTCTTTAGTAAACCACGGTTCCCTCGCTTGACCACTTCCTCCCTGCCTGACAGGTACATACTTCTCAAGGACACACAGTAGCTGTTCCTTGAACAAGCTCCACATTTCAATTGTGCCCAGCCCCTGCAGTTTCCTTCTCCATCCTATGCAACCTAAATCTTGCCTAATCGCCTCATAATTGCCTTTCCTCCAGCTATAACTCTTGCCCTGCAGTATATACCTATCCCTTTCCATCGCTAAAGTAAACGTAACCGAATTGTGGTCACTATCACCAAAGTGCTCACCTACCTCCAAATCTAACACCTGGCCTGGTTCATTACCCAGTACCAAATCCAATGTGGCCTCGCCTCTTGTTGGCCTATCTACATACTGTGTCAGGAAACCCTCCTGCACACATTGGACAAAAACTGACCCATCTAAAGTACTGGAACTATAGTGTTTCCAGTCAATATTTGGAAAGTTAAAGTCCCCCATAACAACTACCCTGTTACTTTCGCTCCTATCCAGAATCATCTTTGCAATCCTTTCTTCTACATCTCTGGAACTTTTCGGAGGCCTATAGAAAACTCCCAACAGGGTGACCTCTCCTTTCCTGTTTCTAACCTCAGCCCATACTACCTCAGTAGACGAGTCCTCATCAAACGTCCTTTCTGCCACCGTAATACTGTCCTTGACTAACAATGCCACACCTCCCCCTCTTTTACCACCTTCCCTGATCTTACTGAAATATCTAAACCCCGGAACCTGAGACAACCCTTCCTGTCCCTGCTCTATCCATGTCTCCGAAATGGCCACAACATCAAAGTCCCAGGTACCAAGTTCACCCACCTTATTCCAGATGCTCCTGGCGTTGAAGTAGACACACTTCAAACCACCTTCCTGCCTGCCGGTACACTCCTGCGACCTTGAAACCTTATTCATGACCTCACTACTCTCAACTTCCTGTACACTGGAGCTACAATTCAGGTTCCCATCCCCCTGCTGAATTAGTTTAAACCCTCCCGAAGAGCATTAGCAAACTTCCCCCCCAGAATATTGGTACCCCTCTGGTTCAGGTGTAGACCATCCCGTTTGTAGAGGTCCCACCTACCCCAGAATAAGCCCCAATTATCTAGATATCTGAATCCCTCCCTCCTGCACCATCCCTGTAGCCACGTGTTCAACTGCTCTCTCTCCCTATTCCTCGCCTCGCTAGCACGTGGCATGGGTAACAAACCAGAGATAACAACTCTGTTTGTTCTAGCTCTAAGCTTCCACCCTAGCTCCTTGAATTTCTGCCTTACATCCCCATCCCTTTTCCTACCTATGTCGTTGGTGCCTATGTGGACCACAGTTTGGGGCTGCTCCCCCTCCCCCTTAAGGATCCCGAAAACACGATCTGAGACATCATGGACCCTGGCACCTGGGAGGCAACACACCAACCGCGAGTCTCTCTCGTTCCCACAGAATCTCCTATCTGTCCCCCTAACTATGGAGTCCCCAATGACTAATGCTCTCCTCCTCTCCCCCCTTCCCTTCTGAACAACAGGGACAGACTCTGTGCCAGAGACCTGTACCCCATGGCTTACCCCTGTTAAGTCGTCCCCCCCAACAGTATCCAAAACGGTATACTTGTTATTGAGGGGAACGGCCACAGGGGATCCCTGCACTGTCTGCCTGTTCCCTTTCCGTCCCCTGACTGCAACCCATCTACCTTTTTCTGTACCTGAGGTGTGACTACCTCCCTGTAACTCCTCTCAATTAGCCCCTCAGCCTCCTGAATGATCTGGCTCCAGCTCCAGTTCTGTAACGCGGTAATTTTAATAAAATAATGTGACGCCATTGTTTAAAAAAGGAAGTAGACAAAAAGCAGGTAACTATAGGCCAGTTAGCTTAACTTCGGTAGTGGGGAAAATGCTTGAATCTATCATTAAGGAAGAAATAGCAAGACATCTGGATATAAATTGTCCCATTGGGAACACCCAGCATGGGTTCATGAAGGGCAGGTTATGTTTAACTAATTTGGTGGAATTCTTTGAGGACGTTACTTGCATGGTGGACAATGGGGAACCTGTGGATGTGGTGTATCTGGATTTCCAGAAGGCATTTGACAAGGTGCCACACCAAAGGCTGCTACATAGGGTAAAGTTGCATAGTATTACAGGTAATGTATTGGCATGGATAGAGGATTGGTTGACCAGTAGAAAGCAAAGAGTAGGGGTAAATGGGTGTTTTTCTGGTTGGCGGTCAGTGGCTAGTGGTGTGCCTCAGGGATCAGTGTTGGGACCGCAATTGTTTACAATTTACATAGATGATTTGGAGTTGGGGACTAAGTGTAGTGTGTCAAAATTTGCAGATGACACTAAGGTGAGTGGTA